GGACCATGCAAACAAAATTAAACTATCACACGCCTCAGCGGCGTCGACATGTCACTGGCAATCGCCAACGAGACATTTGAATTTAAATAAGTATCAAAATAATATTATAAAATGTACCCCTGTTTTTTTGAAAGCATGTCCTCATGCTTAATAAAAATTGCGATTGTGTTTTTTTTTACTTTAGTATTATCTGTACTAATGATATATGAGTTGGTGTCTGAGATTTAAAATGTAGGAATTATTATTTTTATACAATGAAGAGATAATAATATTATATAAGCATAACGTATGGGTGATATATTTTTGTTTTTGTTCGAAGTCTTCATCATTATTTCTGTGTATGATTTTCTCGAGTATTTACATGTTCACTCAAACATTATCGTACACTATTAAAGTTTTTCATATTCAGCTTGTTCTGATTGATTGACCGAATATCATTCCTTTTGGTTAACGAATACACCTGTATGTGCCATACCACGTGTAGCAGAATCTTTTTCATTTTTAGACTATGTGTTTAGTTTTTCTTTTACTGAGATAAATATTTTAATATTTCTTATAATAGTTATGTTTTGCCATTAATTTGTTGATAAATGTTTGATTAGATTTGGCATATTTATTGTTGCTTAATTGCTGGCTACAGGATTTTGTATTTCTTTGGTAAAACACTTTTGATTGCAGACAAAATAATGTACGAAATATTTAAGTTACTATGCTTATACTCTGGTTATTGATTGATAGGTTTGACTTTCAGTATAATGTTGATTGAAGATGTTAGTATTAAGCGTGTTATTTTTGTAATCTACCCCATGTTTATTATTATTAACATTATTTGGCGCGTTATATTTATTAAGTACCCCATTATTATTTAATTCATCATATTTAATATTATGCGCGCTGTTCTTATAAATTACCCCATAATCATTATATTCAATATTTTTATTATTTTGTGCGCTTATTTCATTTTTTACCCCATTTTTATTATATTTATTAGTCTGCGGGCTATATTTATCATTTTCATTTTGCGCGCTATTTTCATATTTTACCCCATTATATTCATATTCATAATTTTTATCATTTCGCGCATTATTTTTATATTTTATCCCATTTTTATTATATTCATGATGACACAGTACCGTATTATTATATTTTATATATTGCGCGCTATTTTCTTTATCAATTTCATTATTTTTATAAATTTGCGCGCTCATTATACTTTGGGGTATATCTTAGGGTATATTTCGGGGTATATTTTCATTATTTAATCGGGCGTCCCCTTTATATATTTAATCATTTTTTATTCTATATTCATTATTCGTGCAATTTATTCTTGGGGTTCATCATTATTGTTGTTTTGAGAGCTCTCTATAAATATATTTTTCTGTTGTAAATATTCTTTTGGATTATTTTCATTAATATAATTATCCATATTATTATCATAATATCTTACATCGCGATGTTTACTGTTTTTTTTTATTGAAATGTCAACATTAAGTGAATTCACGTTTTCATTGGTATATACCTGTGTATTACGCGTATTGGATTATAGTGCACTGCGCTTTCGTTTTGGTCGGATTATAGGCAATAATAAAATATTACTGCATTTATGATATTCATGGTACCTTACTTTGAGAAACAGTTAGCTACTCTGTTCTCAATGAAAATTTTATGTTGAATCATGAAATCATAATCTAAAATTTTTAAAGTTAAACAAACAATTCTTGCCGAAGGGATCTTTAAATTTGTATAGTATAGCAAACTGATGTTATCGAAAAAGACGATAAATTTTCTATTCATTAAAAATTCTCTAAAATATGTAATACCAAATACTAATCCCAATAATTCAAGGGTAGTGCTAGAATAGGTTTTTTCCGATTTGAGTAATTTACGAGAAGCATATTCAATCGGTCTCATAACATTGTTTTCGTTTGGCTGTTCTAATACCGCTCCCAAGCCCATTAAACTGGCATCAACAGTTAAATACGTTCCCCTTTCATATGAGAAGTGTGTCAGCAATGGCTTCGAGGTCAGTATTGATTTTAGTTGTTGAAACGCTTTTTCATGGTCAGAGTTCCATGACACTATTTTAGATGCGTCTTTCTTTATTAAATTTTGTAATGGATATACTATTTTAGCGAAATCTTTTATTAGNGATATACTATTTTAGCAAAATTTTTTATTAGTCTACGATAATAACTACACATGCCTATAAAACTTCTAACTTGTTTAGTTGTTTTGGGTGTTTCGAATTCAGTAACGGCTTTAATATTTCGTGTTAACGGTGTAATACCCTTTTCAGATATGCCGTGCCCAAGAAGTTCTATATTATCAGTAAGTAAATTACATTTTGATGTTTTTAAAGAAAATGAATATATATCTAATATTTCAAATACGTTTTCTAAATTAAATATCGCGGATTCAAAATCTTTTCCAAATGTGGCTAAATCGTCAATAAATATAACTACTGATTTAAATAGATATTGAGAAAATGCTTTATTTAATTCTCTTTGAAAGATAGCGCTAGAATTACGAAAACCTTGTGGTAGACGTGTAAATGTTAATAAGCCATGTATGGTAGTAAATGCTAATTTATATTGATCTTGTTTTTAACCGGAATTTGAAAAAACCAGAATTTAAGTCAAAAGTACTAAAATATTTTGATCCTTCTAAACTTCTAAAAAGGTCTGCGGTTCTTGGTAAAGGATAATTATCAGGTTCTACCATATTATTTAGATCTTTATATGATACGACTAATCTATATGAGCCTTTCTCCTTTTTATTAACTAAAAACGCAGGTGAAGCATAACTAGATTTGGTATGTATAACAATATTGGCTGCCATTAATTTGTCTAATTGTGATTTTAATTCCTCGCGCTGTATAGGTGATACTCTATGAGGTGAACAAAATTTAGGTTGTTTAGCATTGGATTTTATCCTAATTTCACAGGGTTGTACATTGGCTGGATGTAATTTAGCTATATCTGAAGTAAATAAATGTACATATTTTTTTATTAGAGAGATTAATATATTATGTTGATCAACCGATAAATGCGGAGAAATTTTTATTTCCGTACCTTCTGAGTCATAAATGTGTTCTTTATTGTTGTTGTTAATTGTATTAATAGTTTGTTTTTGTGTTTTATTTTTGTTGTGTTTCGCTATTTTATCCCTAATTGTATCTAAAGATATGTAATTTGTGGTTTGAATNGCATTTCTTAAGTTAAATAGGTTTTCAAAAGGATATAAATAAAAGGATTGTGAATCATCAAAAAAATTTGACCAAAAATAAAGTTATTATTCTATCGGCAAACATTGTATTTACTTGATCTAGATATATGTATATGAATTTTCTAATAATTCTGTTATATTAAACAGTTTTTGGGAAACAAAATTTCTGATATATATATTAAATTTATAGAATTATAAAGAGCGATAATGTACTTATCAGAAAAGTTTTTAACAGTAAAAAAAATAAAAATTTTTATATGAGCTTGTTAGAATCGCATTGGTTAGTTTAAGTACAGCGAGAATACAATTATATGGTATATATGATATTATCGTTATCATGTAATTTAAAACTTATCAGTAGGTAATAAACTTGACCTCTAAAAAAAAATAATTCTTAATATGTAAGTAATTAATTTAGAAAATCATCAAAAATTAAATATTTTTAATTAAATTAATTTTAATTTTAGAATTGTTTTAAATTGAGGTATAAAAAGTTTAACTCACTGAAAAGTAAAATCAGTACAAATATTTAATTAAAAATATAAGTTAAATTATATATTATTTATTAACTTTATAAATTAGGACTACTTTGATATTAATTTTTTTAATAAAGATTTACTTCTATAAGACAATTTATTTATCATCGGATGATCTATTGAAAAAGTTGAATTATTTAAAAAAAAAATGTATTATACTATATTTAATAATTCATATTTCTCTCTTTTTTTTTTTTTTTTTTATTAAAAAAATTTATATTCCGTACTGTCTTGATAAGCGTTTTTTTTTTTAAGCTAATACTGAAAAGAAGGAATCTTTTCAGTATTAGCTTATGTTGTTAATATGTATTACAAAAAAAATTTTTTTTTAATATATTAGTCCTATATTTAATATAAAATAGTAATTTCTAGTTGAATAAAATACTTAGTAACATTTAATTATATTAAACTATATGTATTTGGATAAATTGTGACTAAAATGCATATAATGTTTAATAAAGTTAAATTATTGAATTGATCGCCATAATAACATAATAGAATTTATAACATATTTTTGTAGTTTGAAAAAAATATAGTACTAATTTTATTAAATAAAATATTACGTTATTTATGCGCTGATATATCATTTTTTATAAGTATTGGTTAGAAATCTTTGAAATATTTAAGCATTTTTTTTTTTTTTTTAAAAAGAATACTACTGTTTAAGTTGTATTAATCACGATATTGTGTAAATATCGACGAAAGAAATTTCTTTCTTTCTTCTGATTATATTTTTATAATTCGAAAAGAATTATTATAAAAATAAGATTTTTTAAATAAGAAAAATCTAAAGTTAAAATTATATGTAATTACTTATTAAGAAAAATTAATTATAAATTAGAAGTTATGTGTTTTTTTTTTTTTTTTTAGACAATATTTATATTTAATTTTGAATTATTAAAATAAAACCGTTTTTTTAATAAAAGTATTACATAAAACTAAGATTCTTTAAAATATTTTTAAGAAATTTTTATGGGTTGGAGGTTTAAACAGATAAAACATTTTTTTTTATAAATAAAGTAAATAAAAAATTATAAACGGTATTAATAAATTGTGAATTTTTTTTATATAATAATAATCTCGGGGTTTTCGAAGCTACTAGTTGGGTGCCACTTATAATAACTAAAAATAAAGTGGCTCTTCAACGGATTGTTTAAGGCTGACCAGACCTCAGAGGGCTCCCAGGTCTGCTACAATGATTCATGGTAATAAAATTTTATGTGATGAAATACGTTATTTAATTAAAAAGAGAGATGTTCTTTACAACGCGGTACGAGAATTGATTTGTGTAAACAAACAATGATATGTAATACGTTGTATATTGCTAATCCATACGTGCAGCTGTATGAACTCATTTATGGCTTTTTCGGTAAGGACCATGCAAACAAAATTAAACTATCACACTCCTCAGCGGCGTCGGTATGTCACTGGCAATCGCCAACGAGACATTTGAATTTAATTAAGTATCAAAAGAATATTACACTTTGGATCTGTACAATAATCAGATTTAATTCCCTAGTTTATTGATTATTTTGTGTTTTAAAGGAGGGAACTCTGTTTTGGTGATCTTGTGAATTCATAATATATGACATACATGTACAAAAGATAACATAATATAATTAATATTATAAGTGATAATATAATATTACAAATGAATAATTTAACACACTAATAAATTCATCTGACTAGTATATAATTATAAAAATAAAATAATGTTTTATCAAAATTTTTTTTTATTACAAAGTTATTATTTATGATTGCTAAAGTGGAATAGACAATACTTATGACACGTATAACATATTCAATTTAAGGATCATTTAAGTCTATCAAGTGAACTAAGAGGGATGGTGAGTCAGTACGCGGTATTGCTTGATATGCAATGTTTCGGTTCGAGACTCTGTCACAAGCGGCTCTGTTTGCTAAACGAGTCGTTAGTTGCTAAATATGCTATAGAAACGTAACTGCTGAATTAAAATAAGAGTTTTTGGTAACAACAGTTTTCTTAAAAACTTATTTATAAAATGGATATTCTAAAAGTAAAATTTTGATGAAAAAATAACAAAAACTCAATATTTAGCATATTTTACTAAAAATATTTAAATATACACATTTATAATTTTTTCATTGATATTTTATTAAATTAGGTTAGTCCTAATCATAAGTTAAGATACACCTCGTATGTACTCAAATAGACATCTGGACGTATTTAAAATTCATTATAGAGAGGGGAAAGAAAATTTAAATTTTCTTTTTAAGCTACCAAGTAAAATTGTATTACTTCATTTTAAGCTTATTATGAGCAAAAATTAAAAGGTCAACAAATATTTTCATATCAGCATTACATATTTAATAGCAGAAAAACAAATGCCCCTCAAATACTCCACTGAGAGTTGTATTCATAAAAACATATATCTAAGAGCATAAACAATTTATTTAAAAAATACAAGAAAATTACAAACATACGATCTATCTCATTGATAATTATGTATCAAAATTGTATAAGCAAGGCGCTTTACAATAAGTTATTATTAGTAACTTGGAAATTAAAATTTATAATATAGTTCAGTTTTTATCGATTATATACTAAATTCAAATACGGGTGTTCAAAATTTAATTGATAAAAATGTGTAGTAATTCAAAAATAAAGATAAAGCGACTATGTAATATCGGGTGACCAAGGTTGGATTGGATATTTGGGGATTGGGTCAATTCGTGAGCAACAAAGTCTTATCGGGGTTGTAGAGTCCAAGGATTTACAATAAAGACAAGTAGATATAAAAATAAATGATTAAAATTTCTCTATAGAGGTATTATAAATGATCTAACTGGTAAGTACCTGACATAATATACTGAGGCAACGAAGAGTCGTTGGCCATCTCACGAATACTCAGTCAAAGTGTTTAAATATACAGTAGAAATCACATTAGGTTTTTAAACTCTTTTAGAGCAGTAGATAAAATAAGAAATGAATTAAGTTTCTCTCATAGAGGTATTCTTGTAGTGGCCGGGGTCTTGGCTTCCTATCTGATACCCAGTCGAAGCGTGATATTAACTGGTATGTGCTTTAGTGCGAATACTGAGGTATTCTTGGAGTGGCGGAGGCCTCCTTTCTGACACCCAGTCGAAGTATATGACCAAGCACTAACTAGTTATTAATGGTTACTACCATTCTTTACTCAGATTATTAATTCTAAATAATTGGGTTAGTATGAAATTACTTATTTCTTTTATATAGCTTCCGTAAAGATTTATAATACTTCTTTTAAATAAATAAATAAAGTCTTGATGCAAAAATGATTATATTCAATATCGTCTTAAAATATACCGACGACAACACGGGGTCGCGTCTAGTTTGAGAAGTATAGACTTCACAAAAAAATTCTGAATTCTATAATGAATTAAGAGCTTCAAAAGTGGAGAAGAGCTACTCGCTGGCACGCTCGCTCATGGACGTTCAAGCAGAACTAAGCCTTTTTATATTATTTTTAATTCCCTTCATCATAGGATGTTGTCGACAGTGCTTTGAGCGATTTTCAGTTTTTTGTAATAAATTGAATATAATATGATTATTATTTTAAGATAAGATTCATAGTATACAATAATCAATTTAACACATATATACTTATATAATAGCTAGTGTACAACAGTGTATATGTTATGACAGACAAATTAATTATTTGTTTGTATACTAGTAATATAAAATACAGATTATACATTTTTCATTGATAAATGTAAGATGCGCAATGCAAAGCATTAGGCATATTACGACAAATGTTGTTTGAAAATTATTTAAGGGAATTATATTTTAATTTTGAAAAATGAGAATGCGTTTATGTTATATTCTAGTTTTGGTTGTATTTTTATTTTTATTTAAAATACATTTAAAAAATGTTAGCAATAAAATTGTTCTACTAAAATTAAAACAAATTTTAGAAATAATATATTTTTTTTTTAATTTAATTTTTATTATCATTCATTATACAACGTTATTTAAATGTATTAACTTTAAATGTTAAAAGACTCCTTGTCTAGTGAAACTAAATTTCAGGTTACAATATAATTTTGAGAAGTATCACTTATCTCTATAGAAAATGTTTAGCCGAAGTATTTACTTTTAATTATTACACTGGAACAACAATTGTTATATGAAGTCCAGTGATTACGTTTAAATCGACATGTGTGTTTTATTTTTTATAAATACATAATCAAAATATAAAAATGTAATTTTAAAATTTAAATAAAATATTTTATGTACTATTATATTTAGAAAGACAAATATTTTTCTAACGAATTAAGATAAATAAAAATACATTTTATCATAAAGAACAGAAATTTTTAAAGCATATGCTTTAAGAATTATATGCTCATATGTCCATATGCTGATATCACAAGCAACAGAGAAGTAATATGTTTTACTAGAGAGTATAATAAAAAAAAAAAAAAGGGTTTCTTACAAATTTATTATTTTATTAGAACATATATTACGACGAAGGAAAAATAACTGGGAAAAAACCAAGACGAGGCCCAAGGAAACAATATTTTAAAAATATCTTGGAACTCATGAACTTCAACGACAAGACATTGCCTTTAATAGATGATGATGATATATTACGAATCAAAATAATTTGTGCAAATAAATAATTCAAATAGAATGACAAGGCTCTCTCAAAAAATAGTTATTATATATAGTTATTGTATATAGTCGGTACGGTATATTTTAACTTTTATAAAAAAAAACTGTTGCATTGCAGCAGACTATTAAAAGCTGATTCGTGCAGTATTATCTTATATAATTTTAATCTGAACAACTGAAGTTAATGCAACTACCATAACAGTATTGATGTTGATTAAATAATATCATATTTACTGTTATCTTGAAATAAAATTCGAAAATAGTAACACGATTTATTAAAAATGTTATTTTTTCATCACATTCATTATATAGAGATTTTATTTTAACATTAAATATTATCTAACTTATGTAATTTATAATATGAACCATAATTCAAATTATGTATACTAATGCTTACTGAAAACCAGTAATATTTTAGAATTTCAAACGTATTTTTTGTATGTTAGTAGCTAATAATTAGCTATTAATATGATAATTTAAATTATTTAAATAGTCGTCAAAATTAAAAAAATCATATTTTATGTAAATTTGTAATGTTAAATAAATTGTATATTATATATACTTTTTTTTAGTGTTTTATGTTTGAAAATCTCTTAATTTAATGCAATTATTTAAATATCTTAAAATCATAAAAATAGTAAAATATAAGTTGCCATGTGATACCCGTATGGAAACACTGATGTTTATAATCAAACATATATTAGTTAGTTATTAAATTTGTGAAGAAAGATTATTTTTTAGTCCTTAAATTCTACTACTGTTAACTACTATTAACTCGAAAATAATTATTTTGTTACATTTTTTTTTGTTGTTTACATTACTAAAAGGATGAAGAGGAATAGTTTTTTTGGTCGGCTGGCAAGATACTTGACGTGCTGTATTACAAAGAAAAAGAAGCGCAATGAAGGTGGTATCATAGCTCAACCTGGCCCAGGTATTTTTTTAATTAAATTTAGCCTAAGACGATAGTTAACCAAAATTCTTTCAGTATCCAGAATTTTAATGGGTACAGAAAATTAATACACTAATTTATTTTAATATGTTGTTTACTGTTATTAAGTATGACGAAATATATGTTAAAGTGCTCTCCCAATTTTATTTTTTTAATTTATATAATATAATACTGTGATACCTGGATAAAAATAGATAATTGCGCATATTTATTTTAATATAAAGAACTATAGATAAATAAAATAAATTAAAACTTTTGACAATGATAATGATTTTCGAAATATGTATCCGTATTTTGTTTATAAATTTTTTGTGGCTTTTTGAGTTATAATATCGTAATGTGACATTGAAAATAACTAATTTCCAATTAATTGTTTGTCCTTATTTAATTTTTATACATTGAAATAGTTGAAACGATTTATATATAACAACCAAATATCCAATATATCACGAATGTAAATATACTCTCAATGGATAAATAGTAGATACCAACAAATTGCTAATTTTAAACTTGAGATTTGAGTTGATAATTTATTGAAAAATTAAATTTTCCTCAGAGATGTAATAACCTATTCTGGTGCAAGTTCTAAAATATCAGTTGTAAATACAAATTAACCCCATGCTCTTTGTGAAATTCTAATTATTTGAATAAGTAATAGTCGCGATGATAGTAAAAAGTCAATTGGTGTTTGAGACACTCGATTATAGCACGATGGCCGTGAATTCCTAAAGTTTTTACTCAGGCAATTTGCCCTTCTGTAGTATTACGTGTGTCACTGTGTCATTGTTATAAGCCCAAACGGGGATACAAAGATGTAATGGGATATATGATTGCATCAGTATCATTTAATGTAATTTTATATAAATTCAGTCAAACAAAAAATTCATTTTAGACAAATTATTGTTTAAACAATCCTAATAATAAAATTTGATATGTTATTAATTAGAAATTATGGCACATGACATATGCCCAAATAGTAATAATCAGAAGGAATTGGTCACGATACAGAATGAAGATATCGATATGCAAATCGTAGGTGCATTAGTAAATGAAGAACAGAGTGAAGAAGAAGGCTTTGAGCATGTTATGATTTCTGTGGAGTCGAAAGAAGACACGCACTGTTTATACACTCAAAACATTGATACTGAGGATGACTGCTTAAATTATACGGCAGAGCACGAAGTAATTGTTGATGAAGGAGAAAGCTTGGAAACTAATAGAAATGAAGAAGGAATTATACGTTATTTTGGAAATAAGAATGAAGTTGGAAGAATTATTTCAAATGATAGGAAATGCTATTATTTCAATAGGGTAAGCATATTATAATATTGCAGTAATGAAGCACATTTAAAAATAGTATTCATTATAAATTATACAAAAATAGTTTATTTTTTGTTTCTTTCAAAATAATTTCAAAAATCGTGATACGTGATTCTGTCACATAGACGATATATTGATGAATTAAAAAAAAAAAAAAGCAATTTTGGAGTTAAAAATTATCTTTTTTTTCTTAGGAAGATATAGTTGGTCGTTATCGATATCATAGAGCTCCGCAAAAAGCAAAGTTTGTTATTGATGCTTCGCGACCAAATTGGGCGAAGGACATAGTGATAATTGGACAAATTTATGGCCAACGGTATTTATTATATGATTTAACAGTAAAAAATTCAATTAACTTTTTTTTTTGTTTCTACAGTTGCTATTATTGTTTAATGTTTGATCATTACACAGAGGACTGTATGCAGTTAGATATTGATTCTTATAATTTTTACCGTCCTTATTTGTAACGCGCCAGAAAAAAACTGCTTGTTTATACTATCTATTCGGTTAGTATTTAAATTTGATATGGTCAACAGAGTACTATTTCAGATAATAATAAAATTTAATATTGCGGCAGATTGCAATGTGTCAAGTAAAAAAAAATTATTATATTTATACACATCATAGTATATGTATATACTTAAATTTATTGATACAAATTGTGTTATACAAATGAACTTAAATAATTAAATGTATGTGTATTAATTAATTGTATGTAAATAAATTCATGTGTCAAAATAATTTTTTCCATTTATTAATACAATGACAAAATTTAACTAATCATTTAATATTACAATTATCATCATTTATGTACTTAAATTATAAATTTTAAATCTATACGATGTGTGATAAATCATCTTTTGTTGTTTCAATAATATTTTTTTACTATCAAATTTTGTAATTCAAGATCTAATTTTTTATTTTTTATTAGAATATGTAAAAATGTTTGCTAAAAATTATGCATTATTATTATTTCATATCCTATAATATAATAAAGTTGAATTAACAAGGCGCCCGGTGGTACTCATGTAAGTTCGTTAAAATTCGTTGTTTTATTTTGTCTTAAGTCAGGCTATGTCGAAGAAAAGGAATAAGTAGAATGGACTGTAATATAGAATGATTTTTTAAAACATGTAACAATTAAATGTATTATACATGAATCATAAAATCTTACACACACCGTTATGGATAAGGGGACACTTAATGCTAATTGCCACAATGGTACTGATATAAAAATACAATAAATTATAAATGTGAGAAAGTCTTAAAAAGAATATGAACAAGTTTATTTTACTTATCGACCAATTGAAACGGCTGATGATAATATTGAATTTTGAAAAGATCAATTGAAGTCGAATACAAGTAGCTGACCAACGTGTACAATATGCTGCTTATGATACTGTAATGTATCTCATAAAACAACGGCGATATACTGAGCACACAAGGGTGTGACAATCGCAAAGATATTTTAATTTTACAACAAGACGTATACAAAACTATTGGCTCGCCATAGAGCTTCTAGCTAAAATGTAGACATAGAGAGAAGACCGACAACAACTCAATGTAGCACAACGATAGCCAAATCAATCACAACACAAATTCTCGACAGCGCACTCAACCGATGTGTATCCAACAATAATATTTTTTTACTATCAAATTTTGTAATTCAAAATCTAATTTTTAATTTTCTATTGGAATGGGTAAAAATTTTTGTGTTTGCTGAAAGTTATGTATTATTATTATTTCATATTCTATAATATAATAAAATAAACGTAGTTTTTCAGCACAGTTTATATACTGTGTTGCCTACCGTGTAGTCAATCTTTAGTTAATAATTAACTATTAAAAAAGCTTAAAGTTAACAGATTTCAAAGGTCTATAATTTTTACTATTCTTACATGTAACACACCAATGCAACAATCAGTTTGTATTATTTCTGTTAGTATATCTTTTGACATTGCACCTGTTAGTACTATATCAAGTAAAAATATTATACTTACTAGTATATATATATAAGTGAAAATATTATACTTACTAGTATATATATATAAGTGAAAAGCTGTGTGTCAATGTCCGCAATATCATTTTTATTTTAAATAATATCTAAACATTTTTCTAATACATAAATAGTGATTTTCTAAAGAAATTAATACATTCATTTATCATAAAAGCCATTTATTTTATTGTATATTGAAATTATTAATAATGGACTTTAAAATTATAAAAGGTAAAAAAATAAATATCGACAATGGTGATTGCAGACATTACCGTACAACGCCTCAAGTACTCAAAATAATTGATTTGTGAAATTAAATATCGGGGAGATTATCGTTTCCGCCAAAATTGACCGTATCGTTTCCGCTAAGCATCGTTTCCGCCAAATCTGAATAAGGTCGGTTTTTCGTTTCCGCCAAACCGATAGTTTATACCTGTCTACAAATAGAAGCTTGAGAACCACTGGTTAAAATATTTGCCAAAATAACCCGATAATAATTATCTACTTATCATTTAATCGAACTTTTTCCTATTCTATTATTGTTAGTTAGATAGCAGTGTACTGATCGGTATATCGATAAATATTTTGCCATCCGTTCTTTTTTATTTTATTTTTTTAATTAAAATGTCATTTGAATATATCAGAAGTAAGCGGGGCCAACAAATGATTTTATTGAATAATTTTAAGTATCGTTTTGCATATAAAGCAATACAAACGGGTAACATACGTTGGCGTTGTTTTGTAAAAGAATGCAAAGGTACCATTCACGTGAATGAGCTTGATGAAATTATTGATCAAACAGGTATTTTTAAAATTTTTAGTTAAATTGATTAAAGCTGACCTCATTTTAAATTAGTTTTAATATAGAACATACATGTAATGGCCCTTGTTCTGATCCCATAATTATGAAACAAAAATTAGCAGGCGCTTGTAAACGCAAAGCCGTAGACGATATTTGCCAAAGACCGCAAAAAATAATTTTAGGGGAAATTCAAACATTAAGTAATAATAATTTTACGACAACGGATGTGTCATGTATTCGCCAAACTATTTATCGCACTAGAAGACAATTTTTTCCTACTAATCCAGAATCTATAAGTGAATTACATACAATTATTGATCATACAGAAATACTAACTACGCGCGGAGAACAGTTTTTATTACACAACGATCATGAGAAAAATATTATTATTTTTTCTTGTGATACAAACCTCAAATTTCTTTGCAATTCCAAATCAATATATGTAGATGGAACTTTTCAGTATTGCCCAAAAAATTGTGTACAATTATTTACCATACACGGATATATAAACAATTACTATGTACCACTTGTTTTTTGTTTATTAAAAAATAAATTTATAGAGACTTATAAAGAAGCTTTTGAGGTTATAAAATATAAATGCACTGAAAAAAAGTTATTACTGTATCCTGAAAATATAACTGTCGATTTCGAAGTTTCTATTCACAAAGCTGCTCTAATTGTGTGGCCATTAATTACTATAATTGGTTGTAGATTTCACTTAACCCAGAGTTGGTACAGAAAACTTTAAGAGTTAGGTTTGAGTAATGCTTATAAAACATGTGAATGGTTAAAAGGTACCTTCGGGTTAACTTTTTTAAATCCAGAAGACGTGTCTGATTGTTTCGTTGATGACTTCATGACATCAATACCTGAGGGAATAGCTTTCATTCAGTATGCTGATTATTTAATCGACAATTATATTTCTGAGGAAAGCAAATATCCTCCAAAAATTTGGGCATTGATGGACCCCTCATTAGCCCGGACAACAAATAATTGTGAATCATTCCATTCACATTTTAATGATCAATTTTATAAGGCACATCCTTCTATTAATATATTTTTAAAAATTTTAATAGAAAACGTTCAATCTTATAATTACATTAAAATATATAGTTCTAATAACGCAATCTCAATAAGCGTACGGAGTAAAATTGAAATCCGTTCCAATAAAACAAAAGAGGCAATTGATAAGTTTAATAAAAAAGAAATTAGCAGACTTGAATTTGTAAAATTAGTTTCCAACAACTACCGAAAAATGTATAGATCATAGATCTATTTTTTATTATATTATTTCTTATATTAAATATTTTTTAAGCTTATAATTAATATTAGAATTTTATTTCAATGTTTTGATGACTATATTTTTTTATAAACTATACTTTTATTATTTATTACAAAAATATATATACATACTTAAGACAGTTATCTATTATAATTTATTTACCTTTGGTAAAACGCCATATTTTGTTTATAAAAGTGTATTTATGTGATAAAATTTTGGTACGGGAATCTGCCTACCATGGATAAAGCTAAATGGTTCTCAAATTTTTTAGTAGATAGACAGGTAGAAGATCAGTTTGGCGGAAACGAAAAAACGACCTTATTCAGATTTGGCGGAAACGATGCTTGGCGGAAACGATGCTTGGCGGAAACGATACGGTCAATTTTGGCGGAAACGATGAACGCCCAAATATCGGCACAGTGGTGTCGCGGCATAGTTGGGACAAGTATAGGTTTAATCTCACAGTGATTAAAATCATTATCATAAAAAATACTTCGATTCAAATCTGTAGATAAGGTTTCATTTTTTGAAGGAATTGTTAGATTTCAGTTGACAAATTTAAGTAAAAATAACAACTCATAAAACTGTGATTTTAACACCAAAATAATATTTTTTATCTAACTTCGAGGGCTGTCTACATGTAGACGACACAAATTGTCGGGATAATTTTTTTTTTATAAAAAACTACCTATTAGTATACAGCATAAGCTTTAATTTATCATATGTTTGAAGCTCGGAGAATTTTTGGAACATTCTCGAATGTTAAGTTGAAAAAGTAAACTTTTTATGAAGAAGTATTAATTTTGGAACCAACCTCCATGGGTAGGTTAAGGGTCAAATTTTCAAAAAAAAAAAAAAACATATCTAAAAGAAGAAAAATACCTAAGGTATTAATATTAAAAATTTGTTTTGATTCATCTATTTTTCAAAAAGTTGTGACATTTTCAAGTAAAATAAGTTAAATAAATGTCAAAATTTACCAACTTATTAATAATTTTTGGAGAGATTCCCACCATTTACAATACACTAGGTGTAATATTATATTTTTACTTATAATATTACCATATAATATGATGTTATCATTTGTTCATGTATTGTTTGGCCGCCGATCAGATGTAACGCCACTTTCGTACCATCGGTTAACGCGATCGAAATTGTTGCGCGTCGTTGTGTTTGGCGCTTATGCAAAAACGATCCTATGACGGACAGTGGAGTGCCTCAACTTGAGAGCCCACAGCTAAGATCCGTGATCGCCAATTCGATAGCAAAGAGAAATTTTGGATGCCCATCCGCTGGTTCATGTTGTGGAGATCGTTTCTGGTCCTTGTGTGAAGACGGAATAAATGAAGTAACCAGGTTGCATATAAACCATTTAAATATATAATTGTGTAGTAATGGTATTTTAATTTATGTAATATTGTGTTTAGCAATAATAAATTTACATTTGTTCTGTTAATATTGAAGAGTATTGTCATTAAATTTTAGTTAATTAAGAGTCAAGTCGTGTCCATAACAGGCGAAAATACTGATTGCCCCGATCAAGAGGTGTTTCGAGTCGGTGGCATAACATGTGTGTCACATATTATGATTATACAAGATCACCAAAACAGGGTTCTCTTATTTAAAATACAAAATAACCCTTTAATTATGCGATAAAATCTCCTTCTTGTAGAAATTATTAAGTAACGTCTACACGCAGGGCCCTCATTACAATTAACCAATTAGAATAGAAAGTCTCAGCTTCCAGGATCACGGTAGAGATCGCTGGGCTACGACACTCTACTCAAGATTTCACTCTCCGGGACTTAGTCGATTTTTTTAAATTAATTTGGACTTAGAATATTTTTTTTAAAAAAATAAATGACACTTAGAAATTTTAAAGTGAATTTTGTTTTGGTGAATCTTTTGATTTTATTTAATTTCTGTTATTAAATAATAATGCTTTATCTTTATTGATGTGGAAATAAATATCAAATAATATTTTAAATATTAAATTGTTTAAATTATTTTATTTTAATAATAAATATAACCCAACTCCAAATTTTATTTAATAATTAAAATCTATTGTGAGCTTTTCTTATTGGGTAGTTAGTACCGTTGCTAATGTCTTTGTTTTAACAAACATCGCGCCGGCAGACAACGCAGAGAAATTTACGAGTATATTTGCAATGTTTAATTTTTGTCTTGGTGATTATTGTGCCGCATCCTTTCAAGGTGCTATCTAGCGCCGGGACACATTGGGCCACCACAATTCCGCCTTGACAAATCTTTTACATAGATATAAATATTTCTGAATCTTGTTTTGGCCAGGCCAGAGGAAAATTGATGAAATATTGGTGTCGATCTCTCAATAAAATATAATCTCTAAAAAAAAGTACTTGTTCAACAGACAAAAATCAATAAGTAAAAAAAAAAAATTAAAATTATATTTATAGTAAAATAAAGAGTGTTTAGAATCATTTACAAGTAAGATCATTCGTAGACTTTGTGTAATTATATCTTATTATTTAAAATTTTGAATAGTTTTTGTAAGTAATTATATGGACTATATGACGTATGGTGTAAATCGTATATGTAGTGCGTTTAATACCAAAATCACATTGGTTTATTTGAAATATTATTGCATTTCACAGGACGTAAGGTAAGTACAATTTAATCTATGCTTTCGAATCTCCAACAATCTATTACGTAATAAACCATTAATACAAATTATATAGGAGAATTAATAATTAATAAGAGAAACAATTAATGTGTAAATCATATAATAAATATTCGAGATATTTAATTTTAATTATAATTAAAAAAAAAAAAATCATACAATTAATATTAANAATTGAAGACATTCAAATTACAAAAACTTATAATAAATAATAATTATAATAATTTAAAAGTAGCCACCAAAATGTATTTTTATATTTAACTTAACCATTTCTATTATATTCATTTCTTTGGTCTTTCGTTTTATTTTTGGTTTATTACAAGTGGCGCCCAACTAGTAGCTTTGAAACCCCTGAGATTATATTTTTATCACGATTTTATTAATGATGTTTACTTTATTTTTATTTAATAAAAAAATTGTAACATTGATACATTTAAAACTTTTATATTCCAGACACAGTAAAATTTTCTATTATTTTAAGAATCTTAATTTAATAAAACTCATTTTTAATTTGAAATTATACCTCTATAAAATAAATCTTCAAAATGTAACGCATAATTTATAATTAAACTTTATTTTAAGTAACCTGCGTTAATTTTAATTTCAGTTTTCTACTATTTTTATAATTTTCTTTATCTCACAAACTTTTTTTTTTTATTAAAATTCTTTTCTACTTATAATATTAATATTATTTAAACAAAATTCTGTATTAAACTAACTTTTATTTAAGCAACACAAGCCCCGATACCAATAGTTAATTTTTTTACGAAATATGATTTCGAAATATAAAATATTTATAACTGTAAATAATTTAAATAATCTATAACAATAATCTAAATCAAAATAAAATAAAATAATCTATATCAAAGTATTCTATTAAAAATTATAACTTACAATTTAATGTAATTATCCATTCTATTATTTTATTTTTATTTTACACATAATCACTTTAAATTATTTATTTATTTTCATAACAATTGGAAACGGTTTTGAACTAACAACAATAAAATTCAGTATTCAAACTTCTCGTTTCAGAACTAACTCAACAAATATACGTTACCTTTTACACATACACCCAGTTCACACCTTGATTTACCATGAGTTTGTCATAAAATAAAAAAATGTTAACGCATTTTCACCTAAATATGCTTTCTTTTTCACACGATCAGAATAATCACATAAAATAGAATGAATGCGGCAATGTGGTAATAACAATTTTGCACATGTTTCACTCTTTTGTTGATATTGGAAAAACGTGTCTCAAACGAAGTTACTGAGACTAGGGACGAACTGTTCTCACCATTTCGTTAGTTTACAAACAATCGGCCATATGTAACAAAATATTTACACTCTAAAACTCCTGGAAAAAATTCAATTTTTGTGGGAAACGTCTTCAACCAGATGCAAATTGTGATCAATTGATTATCATTAAAAAACAACGGTTGAATGAATTCTAAGAAAAGTAGTTACAGATCAAACAAATTTTAATAATAATAAAATAAACACATCATAGTAAAATTGATTCCTTCTCAGTTTCGTATCAAAGCTAAAATTGTAATAAAAAAAAATTCATTTTATTTTTATTAGACGCAATTTAAATAAATTATTGATCAATTAAGCTTTAAAATTATATGTGTATTGCGTCTCATTTTATTATATTTAATTTGACAATTTTTTATACCTATGACTCGCGGTATTATATTTTAAGTTGTATCCCCACCACCAGCACCCACGAGACGCCATTAAATATAATTTATATTACATATTTTAATTTAATTGCTAGATTATTTATTAGAATGATCCGATATTTGGCATACTTATATGAAATTTAAATTAAGCTTATTAAAAATTTTAGAGAGGACAATTTTTATTTTAGATATGTTAGTAATACATCGCTTAATATTGAGTCCTAAGTTCATAAATCATAAGTTGTGACCATCATACGCAAATTTTGAAAACAAAAAAATATTTAAGAAAATTTTTTTTAATGCAATAAAATTATGTTTTTATTTTATAAAATTATTTGTTAAATATTGCAAGTAAAAAGTAGACTAAATATTAAAAATCAAATTGAAATGTTTATCATCTGTTTATAAACAAAGCAAAGAAAAAAGTTAATCAAATAATAAAAAAATTGACTAATTTTTAAAGATAAAACAATTATTTATCGAAAAAATTAAATCAATATATTACATAAGACTAGACGTTTATTTATATTATAATTTAAAATTAAAGTTAAAAAACAATAATAACAGTAAAAATAACTAATATGAAGTATCAAATTTGTTGAATTTTTTTGTGATGATTAGTTATCATAAGTAGATTGATTTTAAACTATAATTTAATAATTGTTAATTAAAATATATATTTAGTTTAAAATAAAATAAAAAAAAAAAATTTAAACTTCAATCAAACATAATAGCGATTTCTATTAAAAATAGAACAAAACAGAAAGACAATAATATAGAAAAATAAGTACTTGAATAACGTATAACAAATATTAATCAAACTGACGTTATGAACAACATTAATTTTATAAATACAATTAATTTACAATACAAATGGACACTAAATAACAAATAGAAAAATAACCCAACTGAAGTCTATTAATAGCGATAATTTTAGTATATTTGATAGTCAAATTCAAACCAACAATTTCAGTAGATGAAACAAATATTTTAAATACGGCCACAAATTCAAATGAAATATAATTTAATAAGCAAACTGGCAATGTGTGGAGTTCATAAGCGATAAGAGTGATTTCAATGCTCTGTCCCTTTAAATTATACAGACTTAAGAAAGCAACATTGCCAGTTAGCTTATGAACATGTTTCTAATCTGCGGTTCACGAAAGAACACAACTAAGCAACTAATGGTAAATATAGAATATGCAATATTTTTATTGTATTACATATTTATGACACTTTAATTTTTTTTATCTGATTATTTGAATTTGTCGCTCTTACTACTTGGTTCGATTGACTCAGTATTCATTTTCTCAATATCTGTCTATCGAACTAAAAATAATCAATGAATTTGTTATCAATTTATTATTAAGTTTTAAATTTATTACTCTACAATTGCTCTTTTGTAGTATAATAGTCATGGGATTTTATCATTGCACATTTTCGGACGATTACTTTTACTCGCCTATGTATAAATATGTTAATAAGTTACGAAGTATTGGTCCAAAAATTGTTATCGATCAATCATTTACTTAATTAAATAGTGTCTATTAAGTTATTTAAAAAATAGAAGTTAGTAATATTAAAAAGGATAAAGGGGGGATCTAAAAATTATTTAACCATTTATAAATGATATTATATTAATTATCAAAGCCAAAAATAAAATGTATTTTAAGGTTGTTATTATTTTAGGAGAACTTGTATTCGTTTTTATGATAAATAAATACAAAGTATATATTTACTCAACTATTAAATATATGGTGATCAATTAAGGATAAGATGTTCATTCTATTGAAAACTATTAAATATTTTATATTTTCATAAAAGATAAAATTATAACTAAAAAAACTTTACAATAATAATATTATTTCTTTTACGAAAATTAAATATTCTCAATAGATTCCAAGAAAATGAGTGTCTTATTTAACAAAAATAAAATTTGTATTTATTTATCACAAAGTAATTAATAAAAAAGAAAAATTAATTATGCCATATGAGTACTTAAGATACATACACATGGAAATAATAAAATAATAAATAAGAGTACTGAAGTTATAATAGATCATGCGATTTGTAGCGTTTGCACTATCGTCAGTACCGACAGTCTTGTTTGGCTTATCACCTTTAAAATGTATAAATCCAACCCCACCCAACTATGCCGTAATGTTTTAGTGTTTTGTTGTAAATATATAGTCATTATCGAGTAATGAATTAGGACGTTTGATATTAGTTACGTTATAACAAGCGTTGAGCGCAGTGTATAATTGGAGAATTTATGATCAAATGAATCCACCTTGCGTAGAACACAAAATAACATTTCTTCCAACTAATTCTTCCAGGTAACAGATCTTTATTGTTACTCAATCAGTAACTGTTACTGTTATTTTGTCCCATCAGTAGTAGTAACTTTTGTTACCCACTTACGAGTTTTGTTAAAAAAATTTGTTGGAATAAATGTTAAATGTTACTAAAATGTATTGGATCAAAATTTGTTCGAAGTATATAAGTATTTAATAATCATTTAAGATCATTTAATGATTTAAAAAAAAAACAAATAGATCGTGAAACAAAATATAAATGAAATTGAATTAATTCGGAACAAATAATATATTTTAAAACAAAATAATAGCAGAAAAAATGTCAAAATTATATGGGACATTGTTTTCTGAAAATATTTGTTTCAACAAACATACCTGTTATATAGGTATAGATCCGTATTTGTCCCAGTATTTAATAGCCAAAACACCAGATTTCTGTTAAAATATATTCTGACAGATATTTGGTGTAAAATATATTTTACATCAGTTTATGAATGGCACTTATATTATAAATTTACTAATATTTCCTTCTTTTGTTGTTTACTTTTTTTTATATTATTAATCAATTGAAAAACATTTTATTTATCATAAAAATGTTTTTATTTTATTATTAGGGATAGGAAAATGATGCACTATAAACTTACAGTAGTGGCATTAAAAATACCAATTACCAATATTTCTGTGAAAAAATGTATTTTAACCATTAAAATGCTATTAAATAATGTCTTTAAATGAATAAGTTCAACTGAAAATAATTTGTATGGAAAAAAAACTTATTAATGAACACATTTTTTATATTCATAAAAATGAATTCTTGGAACACCTAAATACAATTTAATGTCTATGTAGAACAATAAATTCAAAACTATTTTATTCTATTATAGGTAATTGTTTATTATATAAATTAATATAAATACAAAATAACATAGGTTAATTTTTTTTTATGTAGCTTTTTTCACTAGTTAAAAGTATTTTAATATTGAAATAATTTTTGTATCATTCTAAAACAAAAATTCATTAAAAAAACTTAATCATTTAAATATAATTTAAGAGATAGATCCATTAACGTCTTTATGGTTGCACTAAACTACTAAGGTCTTTCTCAAATTTCAAACAGAAATGATTTGCAATTTTCAGTTAATAAAGATTTAAATGTTGAAAATGATCTCTCGTCGTCCACTTATGTTATAGAAACAAATTTTAAATTCCATTTTTTTTTTTAACCGTTTCATTTTCAGCTGTACGGCTTTTTCGATTTTATTTTATTAAACCAAAATTATTTTTATTGACTTACAATGTCTTGTTAATCAGATGACAGTCTATTTTAGCAAAACGTAAAATAGCATTAGATAAAGTACTGAAATTTGATTTTATAAATGTTAAATTACACTCCAGATTATTATATTTCATTATATCATGGACTTTTTCTATTGCAGTAACGTCATCATTGTCTAATTACATAACAACACGTTTAATAAAAATGTTTTCAACAATAAATCGCCGCTACCTCTGTTCCATGTACCCTACCTTGTAAGTATGGAGATAAAAGAATATTTGGTGCAATATTTCAAAAAAATTGTATTCGAGAAATGGCTTTTAAAAATAATTTTTCATACCTAAAATCAGTTTATCAACCTTTGGAAACTAATCTAATTTCTTCATGTACAATATGCAATGAGTGAGTTTCACGAGTAATATGTTCCATTTTGGGATTAAATATTTTAAGAGATTTACCAGCTTTTAACGTATATGACGCTGCATTCGATAATAATAACAAAATATTTTCTCGTTCAATTTCTTCGGACATAACATTAATAGCGACTTGTTAAATATTCAACATATTGTAACGTAATTAGCTTTATTCAAAACTTCCGAGATTAAAAGAAATCTGGGGAATCGATTTCTAAGATGCCAATTGTAATGTTTAATACATAACAACCAGGTATATCCGTAGTATCATTTATGGTTACCCATATTTTCTATTATAATCCATATGCTTTTATATTATGTATTTTATTTGTATACTTCTCCAAAAATTATTGAAAAGACGGTTGATATAATTTAAAAAATGGTATATTTAAATATAATATATAATAAAGCCTTGCAAAGATCGTCATTGAAAGTTCATGTTGTCAATGGGCCGATTAATAAAGTACGAGTTGTAGATGTTTTTTATTCTATACCTATAATATGTTTACCATGTACAACATATTGATTAACAGTAAATTGTTTTCAGAAAATTTTAATTCTTTGAACTTTCTAAACACAAGAAAGCAAAATAACAATTAGAATGCTAAAAAACATTATTAAATTCCTTTATAATGTAATTGAACTTAAAATTATTTGTTTTAAATTTCTATCAGTCCTATTAAAAAAAATATTTTGTATAAGAACCTAGATAATAGCATAAAAAAAATAGTTTTAATTTACTTTTATTTAAATCATACTTTTTTTCAATGAGTATTTGCTTCAAAACGTTAAATTATTAATAGATGGATAAAATATTTATTAGAAAAACTATACTCTGGGTATATTATTTGTAGGAACAAATGATTAATGAGCAGATAAATTGTCAATTGGAATAAGAAATTTGTGGAACAAAAAGTAGCGATCTTCATTATGTATACAAACTGTAGCGGCTTAGTTATAAACAAAATACTAGTAACAGTTTTTTAATATTAACCACTCAATTTCTCTCAAAATAATAATGTTAAGAAAATTATTTTTGGTATTTTTTAATTTATCCTTTATAATATAAAAAGGTATTAATTTTTTTTTTTTATGACAACACATACTTAAATATTTTATAAAATAAAAAATAATCTAATTAAGAATAAAACAACTTTTGACCCATTAATTTGGAAGTTATGAACATTTTAAAATATAAAATGTGTGGATATTGTAATTTGTAATTTAACATCTTTACATTAAAAACTAGTAGTTGTATTTAATTTCTTAAAGAAATATTGTCATACTTTTTATATTATTTTAAGTTTAAATTTACATTATTGGGACTGTTATTATGGAATCCTATCTTTATTCAAACTCATATTTGGCAGGGAACAGAGGCGTATTAGGTAAGGGGAATTTTTTAGAAGGGTTCAAAGTATTGTAACTATATGTAAGATGATAGCATATATTATAATTTAGAAAATTTAATTAAAAAATTATTTTTGATGTAACTTAAATAGATTGTATGTATAACATAATTTAGTATAAAAACCATGCAATATTTTATAGTTAAACTTTATTTTCAATTTTTTTTTAGGTTCAACAATATAATTTTATTTTTTAATTATATAATGTATTTCTTTTTTATGTTATAACAACAAATCTATATAATACAGAGCTACTTCCATTATAATTAAATATTAGTGTTAACATTTATAATATTTTTTAATAAATAAGTACATCTATATAAATAGAACCTATTATTATTATTGTAGATCAAATTAATGTTCTTTTCATTTAGTTTATATTTATTCATATAAACACATTTTAAATCAGGTCCATGGCTCAAAAAGTTTTAATAATAACATAAATAATGGTAGTTTGTTATTTATAATTATAAATAAAATGGTTATTAGAAAATATTAATTAACCTAAAATTTTTATTTAACAACTTCTTATTATCAAGGAAACCTGTCTAACCCTCGATGGGTGAAGAAAAATCAATACACAACTATTAATTATACATATACATAATAAATATAAGCATATACTGGGCTTTATCACTATTATTGTCATAGATACATAACACCCGAATTGTATAAATCAAATACATAACATATATTTTGTAGATTTTTCATATAAAACTAAAATATATAGATAAATAATTTTTTTTAAATATATATAAATATATTAATTTAATAGTATAAAAAATTATAATGGATATATTTAGTGCCAATCTGATGTAAGTAAAAATTTATATATGATCTATTATCTAAAACATTTAACAACGAACAATCAGGATTTAACACTCAAAAACTTTACAACAAACAAAATGTTTATTATAAAGATTAAAAAAACGTCTAAGACTCATAGAGTTAGCACCAAACATTTTTCATAAAAAAAAAAAAAATATATATATATAAATCAAATATGCTAAAAATATGTTTTATGCACTTAGAGCATTTTTGGTAACAATAACTTCACTATCCAGCTGTTGCTTATTATACTGCTGAATGTCCGTTAATTTTTGGTGACTCATCTCTGACAGCTACAGCAGCCACCAATGCAGCTCCACGGCCACTACCATCTTCTGACAACATCATGTCAAACTAAAAAAATATATATTTATGTATAAAGTAAAATAAAATTATTGAAAACTTAGCTTACATTAATGTCTGGATTGGTTAATTGTTTAGTTTTTTCAACCATGAGTTTGTGGAAGTATGGATGGAATCTGTAAACTGAACCATCAACTCCAATTGTAACAGATTTTTCATTCATTTTGTTGAGAAGAACAGCCAAACCAGCAGATACTAAGTGTGCAGATCTTCTTGATACACACTCACAAATGTATCGCACATTTGCACAGTCAACTAAAGATGGATCACTAATACCCATCTCATTAAGAACTTTTAATGTTTCCCTATAATTTGCTTTATCACTAAAAAATAGTTAAATGACAGTTTTTATTATTTAACAAATAAATTATTAACCTTATATTTTACCTTTCAATATCTGAAATAAATGAAGTTCCAAATGCACCTCTGGTTTTCATTTGTTCAGAAATTCTACCTTCAAATAATTTATTTTGCCTGGCTAAATCTACAATTATTAATCGTACAATCTCACCCATGTACATGCCTCCAGTCATTTTTTCAAATCTAAAATATTTAAAGTTATTAATTAACAAATCAAAATCAATACATTTTCTTACCTTTGACATCCAGGATTTAAAGATACTTCATCAATTTCTCTATCATATTGTGTACGTATGGAATCTAATTTACCATCATCACCAAATGCACCCCATTCAGTATTGATGATAACATGTGGTTTTGATTTATCACCATCAAAAAGTTCTGAATTTTCGACTTTTTCAACATAACATGCATTGCACCCAGTTCCTGAATACAATAAAATTTATATTATATATTAAGAATAAATTGTACTTCTCAAAGCACATAAAAAAACATGCTACATTCATAATTTTTATTTAGGTTTTAATTATTCATTCTGAATGACTAAAGCATAATTAGCAATTAGAAATAATACAATAATATTAGGATAAATATAATTAATATTATTAAAGCTGCATAAAGCTCTACATTCAAAACAATACAAATGTAAAATTATTTTTATTTTTTTTGTAACTGATTGTAAAAAAATATTAATAATGGTGAACTAAAATACTTAAAATTTAAGTAACAATATTTTAAAATATTTTTGTTATAGGTTACAGTTTGTTAAAGCATAAAAAATAAATAACTTTTACAAATTAAAAAGTATCTTAATCTAATTGTTTAATAATTTATTTTAATAACGTTCATATATTATTGGTTACATAATTTATTAATATGGGATTCCTCATTCCAGTTAATTATAATACTTTTACTTATTTAAAGTAAATCAATAATAATTATAGCCATTATATTTTAAAGTTTATTAATATTTAATACAAAAGAAAAAATAACAAGTCTTTTAAGATTTTTCAAATATACTACAGACAATTTCTACTTCAAAAAGTTTATTTTAAATTAAAAAAACTCATTTTTCTAACATACCAACAATAACTCCAACTTTGGTGTTAGGATTCTTCCATGCACATGACATAAGTGTACCAGTTGTATCATTCAATATTCCACAAACATCAATTTCAACATCCTAGTTACCATTGAAACAAACCTTTTGTAATACTAACACATAGCTTTCTTATTTTATAAAATAGGACTGAACTTTTGAAGAAGTATCAACATATAAAACAAAATTTATGCATTCGAATTGTAAGAAAATTTACATAAGTTTTAAAATAATCAAATTAACAATTGTTTCAAAATTTCTTAATTTAACTAATAATAGTTTAAATGCAAATTTTAAAAACAAAAATAATTTGTTTTATAATAATAAAAATTTTAAAATTCATTTCAAGTTAAAATCATATATAATTTAAATATAAAAATCCAATGATTATTTTAACAATTGTGATTCATAGGTAAATGTTCACATGTCAATATTTGTTTACATTTTATATATACAATGTTTAAAATACTGAACAAATTTGAAGACTGACAGATTTTTTATTGACAGACACAACACAATATTCATGCTTAATATTAAGCATTATTAATATTTGGACATCACAAATTAAAACATGAAATCATATATTTGTACGTCATCAGGTATATACAATTTACAAAGATGATAAGCAGACCTGGACATAATTTTTACTTAACCAGATTATGTAATGATTTGAAATGGTCTGATAAATTTCGTATTATAATGCAGTAAGAAACTTACCAACTATTAAACCTACAAAACAGTTCTTGGAATAAATTGTTTTGTAAGCACAACTCATAAGAGTTCCAGTTGCATCATTCAATACTGCAGTTACTTGAAGATTCAGTCCCTACGATATTAACATTAATGGACTATGATCTTTAAAATGTTGATACTTTTATTCAATATTATTTATAAGGATATTGATATTATATTAACTCATTGATATAGGTAAGTGATTAATGATTTTAATTTATTTATTTAATTAACAATAGGTATAATTTTACCTTCCTCCTTTTAATAGCCTCTTTCAAAAGTCTCACAACATCTTCATTTACAACACCAGAGCAATTAAATCCTTTAGTCCAGCTATTAAGATAGCCTTTGGTAAGCCCAACTTGTCTAAGTGGAAAGCTAAATGTAAATCCTAATGGTAGGGCTTTAGAATTGTCTACTTTATGCTTTTTTACAAATTCCGCAAGACATTTAGCTATGTGATCAAATAACTACAAAAAGCAAATTATAATATTATGAGTTATCAATCATAAAAAAATCAAAAAAACATATGTATATTTACCTCAGTTCCTTTGCCTATCTGGATAGCTTCAGGAACTTTAAAAATTTCAGAGTCCATGTGGAAATAATTGTTTTCACCTAACTCAATTAAAAGAACACGGAAATTGGTTCCGCCCAAATCTAAAGCTAAGAATTTTCCTCTTTCTGAAATACAAAATATAAATTAAAATATAGTAAAATTAACTAATATAAGTATATATAAAAATTACCAGAGCCATTTGGAAGATCCTGTACATAAGTGATGTAGCATTTGACTATAGAGCTTGGATTTGTACGTTTACCCAGTCCATTATTAATTGCTTCATTCAAGTCTTTCATGATGGTTGTCAATTGGTCATTTGAAAGAAGAAGTGGCTTGCAATCTTCTTTGATCTAAAATAGAATTGATTAATGAGATAAATGACAAATTCAAGTAAAATAGAAAACATTATAATAATAATTTTTCTTCAAAAATATAAATATGAGCAATATAATTTTACATAACAATATATTTTCATTGAAGCGACATCAATAATATATTCATATGATATAATAGAGAAATAGTGTGCTCAAGTCAGTAACGTGGCAGTACTTGATGTGCACTATTTCGGAAATAAATAAAATAAAAATAATACTGATCTTTAAATAAATATTATATAAAAATAGTTGCCTTGACTTAAAGAAATTTTTTTAATTTCTTATTTATAAATGGCGATTCAATATTTATTAGTTTAATGTTAAAATAAAATGCTTATTTAAAAGATGCATTATTTTAAAAAAAAAGTAGGAGCAATATTAAAATATAATAATTTTTTTTATTATTCAATCCTGAAATTGGTTTGTCAATCATTTCAGAACATTTCTTTAATCTCTAGTAGTCCCCACCAAGGGGTCTGAACTAGGACTATTTTACCTCCGGAACATTTTACTTGAGAAAATGTGATGTTATTGCTATTTTTCAGGATGGTATATATAATGGTCTCCCTTTGTCTTTCAAAAATAATGACAACAAATATTAATTAATAATCATAATTAAAATATCTCCTAAAAACATAGTTCAATGTTGGGAGCCAAATAGCTATGGTTCTTTAATATAAAAAATATTTAAGAACCCTAGCGATTGACGAGTAGAGTAGTGAGGCAAAACCGACATTGATAATCAGGCTTGTTACGTTTTAAACAGTGCGTATTTAGAAATTCAAAATTTGCATTGGTCTTATGAGACATTTTAAACGGTTTACTTAAGTTTTAAACATGTTTTTTAAAAACCTACTGATAATATCTCATTACAGTGACAAATATAAATATATATATAGAGTGTCCAAAGATGTTCTAAACATTTTAAATAACTTTTGAATGCGAAAATATATTTTGCGTTACTTTTTTTAAAATAACTTTTATAATTTTGAACTATGTTAAAACATATTTTTTATTATTTTTCTCTAATTAAAAAAAAAAAATAGAATTTTTTCGAAATTTTAAAATAATTATTTTTTTCCTACTTTTACAAAAAATTTGATTGGTCAATAAGAACTTTCGAATAAGTACTAATTGAGTTACAAATAGATAAATACATAGAGTGGGTATGCAGTTCAGATAAAAGGCACATCTAATTTGTGGATTGTATATTTATAAGTATACAATTTAAAAAAAATGTTTATGATCATTTGATATCGTAATTAATTAAAACATAAAAAAACTAAATTAGATTTGAAATTTTGTCACGATATCGTAGTGAATTATCAATATTTTTGACAAACCCTAAACAATGTACAATACTATTAATGAAGGGATTTTGATAGATACCAATATGCTTTTAATTAAACATTATTAATTTAAAACATTTGAACACAGTTAAGGTTTTTGTAGCATAGACTTAAGAAAGACGTTAATTCTGGAGGCAATAAAATCTTTTTTTAAGTTACATTCCTAGTTTTAAATATAAATGTATTTTATATAAGTTTTTTTCAATATAATTGGAATTAAAATAGATCTTATTATTATCATTATAATACACAACCCCTTTAAATAAATTTTTAATGATATTTGTTCTGTAATTTATTCGAAACATTTTAGCACCGATTATGTTGTAAATGTTTAACAATTTCGATAATTCTAATTTATAATGTAAGCAAAAATAGAATAAAAAAAATTTGCAATTCCATATTATTATGTTTCATAACAAATATTAATAAATGTTTTGTTAGTCACCGACTAAGGATGAGGGCTAGTGAAAGCGAAGCCCCTCGGTTGATGAGTTAGCCTCCCAAAAATTATATATTGTTATATAAAGTAAATTTTAGGATGAGTGAAGAAACATTTTATTCTAGTTGCACTTATAAGAATACATAGTTTATAATTTAATAAATTAATAAAAACAATAGCAAGTTATAATAATTAATAAAAAAAGGATTTTATTAAATGAACTATTTTTACTAAGTGGTCATTAACAGCTGATACCTCCTCCATATTGAATACTGTATAATGAAAAATTCGAATACTTTTAATAACTTTAAGATTAATGATAACTTATTATATTATAATTAAAAAAAATCTCCAAAAACCAGTGTTAGTTTGATCGAATATAGAATATAATCGCGCCTAATTCAAAATCTGTATATCTGTATTTTATTTATAAAGTTAAAGAAAAAAAACATGAATTGAAAAACGCATTTTACTTCATATAAAAATTTTAAAGTTTACTGCATCATTAATTTATTATTAGTTGATTGATATTAGGAAACACACATTAAAAAAAATTATTGATCCATAAAAACGAACACTTTTTTCATTAGTTTTTTAATTAATGTATAAAGGCTGAAATTTTAGCCTTCATACACTAATTAAGAGTTCTTAAGAAATAGTACACTATATATATATATATATAAAAAAAAAAAAATAACTTCTTTTAGTTATTAATATTGAAATGGAAAATAAATGTTACGATTATGAACTAAATATGCCTACTATATTGAAATGTTAATTGCAAAATATGAGAACAGTTATGCTTTAGTAAAATTTAACAGACAGTGGACAGTTGATAGTCTTTCTGTGTAGAGTTATGAAAAACCATTAAAAATTAATTTAATACATTTTACTAACGTAATATGACATTTTTTGATTTATTAAGATGTGTTCAAATTAGAACTACCTTAAAAAATGTGTATTGTTTCTTATAGTTATTTAAATAAATATTATTTATAGTATTGATATTTATAATATTAATGAGTAAGTTCTATTTCGATCCCAAATTATTACACTATAAAAATGTAAATGTTTTATTAAATTGTTATTAGAATAAGTAAGAAAAAATAATCAATTAGTAAACAAAATTTAAAATGTATGTATTCATAATTTTTGAAAATTTTTATCGATAAACGAGTGCATGCAATGATTAATTTATGTTAGATGGAAGAAACTATTACACAGTTATAGAATAGCTATCATTAAATTTTGTGCAACCCGTTCATTTTATTTTAAATGCAAAATGCAACCAGGACACTAAATTCGAAGCGTGGAAGAAAAAAAATATTAAAACCGGATTGTAAAAAAAAAGTTTTGAAAACACGATAAAATAACTTCTTGAAGGAGTTATCGAAAATAAATTTTGCAAATAACAAATTTACTTTTTTTGGAGGGGAGAAAGGGCTTATTGACGTTATTTAACTAAAAAATTAAAAATGTAAATGTAATTCTTCTAAATATCCAAAGTAATTTAATTAAAAACCTTTCTGCGTTTATGTCAATATGTATAAAATAAAATAAGGTAATATGTTAAGCAATTTTAAACAAAGGTCGAATAATTATAATTTAGAAAGTCAAATGTTAGAAAGAAAAGACGAACGATATCATACAGCGAAACTGAAAATTGATATTTAACAGAACATTTGTATTCATTTTGAATAATGTAATACTTATGCATATTTGACTTTGACATTGGTGTGTACACCCGATGAATAAACAGCTGTGTAAATTAATTTATGGCAGCAGAAAAACTTAGTTTCAATTTTAACCCGTTTATAATACTGTATTGCAAATGTTCAGTTTTTGCATTATATTTTTAAACAACCCCGAAAATAGATAGAAGGAAATATTAACAACAGGGCGGAGTTCAGAGTATTATTTGACTCAATAAAGTTCTACAATACACCGCTGGGGTACAATTGACGTTCCATATCTTTCACCCCTGCCTAACCTCCTTGCCATTTAAGCCATTATACCTACTTGGCGAATTATAGACAGGGTCTATAATTTTCAAAATGAAATCGTTTAAGTCAGAATGATTTTAAAATGGACAAGTACTTACAGTAACTCTAACAGGATTTGATGCCCCGGTGAATATTCCAAACAGAGAGCGCAGTAACGGTTCTATCAATATACACATTATTATCAGTTATTATAGTGGTCCGGCGAAATTGAGGTAGATAAAAGAGATTAGCGTTAAACTGATACAAAGGTGGTATTAATTTAAAAAATGTTAACTGAGATATTAAAGATTTTTTTTTAGATAACAGTTGAAAAAAAAAAAAGAGGTAACAATATAAAGTAAAACTATTTTGTTTAAATTCGACGGACGGTAACACACGCGGGCACAGAAAATAAAACGACGGTAACAGCGATAATGCTGGGGGGGTCGGCCTGTGACTGGCGGGCCAACAGCCGCCCGACAAACGTAGAGGAAAATATTTCTATATGTATTTTGTATCGCGCCGTCTGCTGGCCCCCGCGCGCATTCGATCGTATGTTCGCGCATGTGTATGCACGTTGAGTGTTGTACGATGCGAAGACACCCGCTGGCACATTCCCCCCGATCACCGTTTGCCACGTTTCCCATTCACCCTTCTTGTGCTCACCACCACCACTACCGCCATTCATTCGAGCCAAACGGGTCACCGGCGTCAGTGGCGGAGCAAAACGTATTACACGGACACCAAATATCGGCGTGCGCGTGACCGCCTATCGACCGAAAGTCGTTTTACTGCTACCGCCGCCGTTATTACTACTAGCAGGGTAGACATTCACCTCACCTCACCCACGTAAATGGTGTGACGTACTTCTTTGGGCTAAAAAAGTTTTTTTTGTACATCGTACTATTTTTAAACTTTTGATAATTAAGTGAAAATATTAAACCAGACTTGTGCTTCAGTTGACCACTAAAGAATTTCAAGATCTATAATACAAACATGTGTATCCATAAAATTAAATAAAAGCGCAAAGTAATTTACTCGAGTCCCGAAACGATTATCTTGGCGAAAGAAGCCCATTGAATGTTTTATTAAAGAAAGTATACGATAACCGGCACAATATTGAAAATGAGTTTGGAAAAACCCACACGGCGCGTGTAAAACGATGATTGCGAATTTTCTAAATTGTCATTTACGCCTATTATGTATTTCTTTTAAAATTAATTGTTTTTCAATACGAACGTAGGTCCCCCCGCTGTATGTCGAACCCCACTTCTATTCGCATTGAATGTCAAACTAAGAAAAAATGTATTTTATTTATTCTGTAGCAAATATCTAACGAAATAGAAACATAATTCAATCATTATGATATTACGTTACAACCATAAGGTGTGCTTCAGGCACTCATCATCTACTGACATAACCGGATTGTTTATTTTTAATGTTCCTCGGTGTAAAAATAGCCAAAGTTGAATATTAAAAAACGGTAAAACGAGTTAGGTTTACAAAGGTTTCGCCATAGAATCGAAAGGGTACAAATTATTTTTGTAATCGAGCTTAAAGTAACTATCTATTAATATATTAAATTTACTTTATAGTTTTAAAGATATGATTTGAATTATAAAGCAATGACCAATTTGTTTATTTTTCAACTAACTGTTGGCCGAAATAACCACGTGTATCTGCAGAACGTTTATTAGTATGATCCATCAATTAGGTATTTCACTAACTATAATATCTTTGATTTTCGGTGTTAAGTTCTAAATTGGGTATTAAGTGTTTATTTTCTAACGTAATTTAAACGCTTAATTAAAGTGGATACTGTTATTAACTATATTTTTTTAACTCTATGAGTAATTCAATAATTATTTCTGTAAAAATTAAACGAACATATAATTTGTTTGATACAAATCAATTTAACTAAAATGTTCTAAAACCTCTGTTAAATTCAAAGTCTTTACAAATAAAATTGCACTGAATCATATATAGCTCTCATTCAAATCAACCACAAATCATAAATTACAAATAACCCGTTATTTTCATTACCGATTGACTACAGAAAGTGATTTAAGTAATATCACATACCCATATAGTATAGGTTTTATTAAGTGGACCAGAATAGTTCGCATGTTATAGTGTTACTCATATATAAAGAATATACAGTTTCCTATAGAGTTGAATCGGATTAAGTTCAACGAGTAGTGTTTCCTTCAAATATTTCTCAAGTTAAATGTCGTCAAATGCGGTTATAGTTTTTTAAAGCTTATACTACTAATATCTATGACCTCTAGGAAAATAGTAACTATTTTGTACTACTTTTATATTACTAAGAGTTCAAAACATGTTCAATCATGCAGTGCGTTATCGAATCCAATACCAGCTTTACTAGCCAACACTATATGTAAGCGTTCATAACTTTTCCATCCACCAAACATTCCTCGACACCCTCTTATGCCGTTGTCATGTAAAATACAATACGAAATCAACATAAAAATTCAGAAATCAATCGCGCGCAAACATAATGCATAAATAATACAAATGATTGTTCATATTTATTGCATGAATTAGGCGAAAGCAATTGAGTGGCTCACATTTTTTCTCACCACTACAGATAAAAAAAACTATTCGGTTGTTATTATTTTTGTTGACACGGCAAATTTGACCTTGTATTACATTTTTAACGATTACCCTTTTGTCAACGGCTGAACGCCTGACCTTTCAAAACGTTTTCATTCAACGTTACTACTAGTGATGGGAAATATTGAATAGAACTATTCGATAGTTACACAATATATTCGAGTAGTTTTTTAAATATTTGATAGTTGATGCTAAAAATAAACTATTCGGTTGTATAAACACAATTCGAATAGTTATTTCATAGTTTAAAATATTCGAAAATACCCATCACTAGTTACTACTAAATAGCATTATTGCACAAAATTCTCAGATAAAAAAAAATTATTACTAGTAAAAAATTCATTAGGTTTAAGAATCGTGCGAAAAGATAATACGGCATTTATATGCGTCATCATATGTAAACGCATCAAATTAGCTAATGAGGTACGTGATGATATTAATGGTACAATAGAAATAATAGTTATATTTTATGTCTTTTGGTTTGTTATCATAAACACCAACGTTAAACTTTATTTTTTTAATGTTCACTGACATTATAATTAACTTATCACACACGTTAATAAAATATTTATTAAATATTTTACCCCCATAGCGAATAATCAGTAAATAATTATTTAAACATAATACATATTAATATGCCTTCATCAAACTTATTTTGTAAATTTAACAAAAACTTTAGTTTGTTTAATAGAAAACGTGTAAAGAGAATAGGTCAGCGAAGTACTACAAATTGAGTTAAATTTACAGTATTGTTGATTTTTACTTTTTCGAATTTTAAATGATAAAATAATACTAACCCTCAATGTTAATCAAATATTACACTAGAGACTATTGTAAAAAACGTAATTGAAACTACGACTTAAAAAATTAATATGAACGGTTTTGCATAAAAATTTCTAGATTATTATTTTTTTACATGTAACGTGTGTGTCCCAGCCTAGCCAGAGGTGGCCATGACGGCGTTTGTGTGAAGGAATGTGGCGTCGAATTCTTTTCGGTCCTCATTCGTTCTCCAGTATAGTTAACACACGTACCACGTTTTATTTCTTTATATCAGTTTGTTACCTATTCAATTTTTTTTTTAATTTTGCAACATCCCGGCTACAATGTTGTTACTATGCGTTAGATTAGGGCATCAACTCGAACGTAGCAAAATATCTTCTCAGAAGGGAATGCGTGTTCAGCCTTGAACAACGACCGGTTGAGGCACTCCGATTCATTATTAAAATAATAATAATTTCTTCGCCGTGCATTCTATACGATTCCCGACAGATTGCATAACACATTATTATTATTATAACAATCCATTGAAAACTCCCGCCGCCCGATGTTTTTGTTTTGTCTTAAAATTTTTTCTTAGAGCCCAAAATGTGTTGGAACGGTTATTGTACGTATTATTTTTTGCAACGGTAAAGAGAAGAACTGACGATATGTCGTATGTGCGAAAACAGGTCGAAGGTCATTGTTCCAACTGACGGAAACGCATTCAGAAATCGTTTGAAGCCTATCCATTACATCCGTACACTTTTCCGGTCACTAACCAGTCATTTTTGGTTAAAATTAATCATTTTTTATCGACATACCACAATAATTAAAATAGAAATACTTTAATTTGTTAACGAACGGGATACACGAGCCATAAGCCGTTTTCGTTTATAAATTATACACAATATAGTCGGTTGGTAATTCATTTGAATTTTCGTCGACCGACTAAAAAACCTAAGCGCAATTTACATATGTAATTGACATTCTTAAACCGAATATTGAAATTAGCGAATCCTCACCATGGTACTTTATGGTTTCTCAATACTACTAATGAATATTCATGTACTTAGTTGTGTTAACCTTCAATACTATCAATTATCATGAATGAAAAATAATATACACTTAGTCTTCTACGGTGTCATTTGAAAATTTATTAGCAAGCGTTGAAGAAAAGAAAGTTTTGTTGACTATTAATGACACGTTTGTGAATGATTAATCTCACAGCTATTTTAACCGACAACTTCGTTTTAAACGTAGTTTTATAATAAATATATATATGTATCGATAAATATTTTGATAATGTCAATTTATTATTGATTATGTATATATTTTTTATTATCTAATTGACCTACACCTATTTGCACTCAAACGTCCCAAACCAGCTTAAAAGCGAGTTTGACTTATCTTATCATTTACGTTGCTTTAAACAAAAACCTTATTAGTGATATCTTTCAAGAGTAATACAGGAAAGTAGTAAGCATGGCGAGTAGAACAAGGACCATAAATTGTGCAGAAGTTTCTTAGAAAAACTCCATTTCAATATAGTTATGACTAGTTTTATAAAAAATCTCATTGTAGAGAAACCTAAAGCTGTTTTCCCTCGTTCGTCAATAAAAAAGAAAAAATAGAAAGTTTCACAACACAGATATTATGGTATTTCAATTCATTATTTTTTTTTATTCAAAATTATTCAATGTAGAAGATATAAACTGAGGTTTAAAAAACTGGAAAAGTATTGCAAAGGTTGTTACAATGTCACGAGATTCGTTGATATTTCATGATCGATTTCAATATAGCAATGGCTCTGCATTACCTCTGCAGCTTACCAGTGTCCTCATGTAATCAATACGGTCTAACTTTACCACCGGTCGATATCTCCATAGTGTAGAAAGCCGCATATGAATAAAATAACCGAGTGGCAAAATGACAAACACAGAATTGGACGATTGGAGTACACAATGCCCTTGAAACACATTTATTTGAGTAACGAAATGGCGGAAGCACCTTGAACGGCAGGTGAATTTATAGTGTTCCGGTATGTGCGATGGGGGTGCTTGAGATTATACTAATAGCATATCACCTACTGCACTGTCGAAAAAACTTAAAAAAAAAATTCGATTTCGATAAAAATATAAACGAAAATCAATAACAAACGAGTAGAAAAACATAAATTATAAACCTCATTAATGAAGTTGTATTATGACCACTTCACACGTAAACATACAGCACTATTAATAATTAAATTAACCACTTAATGGTAAGTAGAGTACACAAGAAAAATGACGATTTGGGTTTACTTGCGGTTATTGTTATCTTATACCGAAAAAAATAGAAAATGACAATGGAATGTTAATACATGAATATCTATGATACGAATAACTCATAAAACAAGAAATATATGTCTACGGGGAATTTCCTGTTTTAGTTTTCTGTTCGGAAATGTTTATGAACAGGTATATTCAATGGGCTATATTGTTCACCATTTGAATTTCTATTATTTTAAGGTGTACACAGTTATTTTTTTTTTTAATGCTACTAGGTATTATTACTGGTAAATTAAGACCCTGGTATCCGATAAGAGACAATTTTAACGTCTAAATAATAGTAATGATAACTATTAAAACAATTACCTCGTTGGTGACAATTTCGGTATCAAACTCGAACCCCTCTGATAGATTAAGTTCGCTGAACGCCGGCCGGAGTTGGCTCATCATTTCTGGCTTGGTCCTCATGATGGATATTTTATACCCGTCGAGAGATTTGCGTCAAAGTAAAAAAAAAAGAGCTGTTACTTTTGGAAAAATGTAAAAACCCGACGTCGGTTGTACACCAGTGTGGATTTTTAGATTCTTTCAACTAGTTCTTTTTTTTTTTTTGAACGCGCGTGCTTAATGCACAAAGGTTTTTGATGTGCGTTTACGGAATCAGACGATTTCACAGAGACAGTTACCGGCCGGTGCGACGCCTTATATTAAATCCGCTTACGAATTGTCCTCCCTACTACTTACAAACTGATTACAACTGTTCAACAGTAATGTTATACTACGGTACCGCAATTGTTGAGTTACTCAGCTGTTGGTAGGGGAAGATTGGGAATTGATAGCGATGACTTGGTGTGTGTGCTAAGCGTTTGAGATGTAATAAAATATTTACTTATTTATTATTCGAAATTTGTATGATGACTAGTATACCATTTTGGTAATGTAGTTTTTAAAAATAGGACCAAATAACAGATGGTATTTGTTAATTATGAATTAATGCATGTCCACGTGATCTTTTCTTGTGCGTAGTTATCAATAAACAAACCTTTGAAATCATTATACAGTAAATTCGTACAAAAATCACACGTACAATACTCTTAATGTAGTTTTAAAAAAATCGTATACAAAAACACTCTTATGCAACTTGTTTTGAAAGTTCAATACATAATTATGGTCAATATTAAATACAATTCGGTTAACAATTTTGTAAATATGATTTTCTGCTTTAGATTAGAAACATTCAGTGTTTTCAGATTTCTCTACTTAAAAAATACTTGGTCAGTATTGTGTTTTCTTTTTGCATGACTAATATTCTACCTTGTTTTGAAATAATCGTTGAGATTCAAATTTCTTTTTTACTTTTGTTTTTAGCTTTTGTCATTTGAACATAGGTCAATCGATTATTACCTTAATTTTCACTATTGTTATAAAAATTGTTTAATTTATTACTTTTAATTGTATTTTATTAATATTTTTATATTAACAAGTCCATAATTGTTTAAAATTAAAAAAATTCAAAATATACATCTAGTAATCGAAAAAAGATACATTTTAGTAAATTATAAACAACATTATAAAATATAAATTATTATTTTAGTAACTTTATTTTTGGTTTTAAACAAAAAAAATTTTTTTTTATATTACAATTTACAGACTTCTATGGTGATTACTTCTCATTCTCTTTAATATGGATTTTCTAATAAAGGTTTATGATCTATAATTGTAATATTAATGAAATTACACAATAAAAAAAATTAAAAAGCTTAATTTGTTTGATTTAAAAAAATTGCCAATTTTTAAATATATCATGGCAATTGCGAACACTGTTTGCCTATACTAAAATAATTATTTTATTACTTAAATTATTTTAATTCAAACATTGAATATCCATTTGTTCTTATTTTATAAATGTGTATTGATTATTTTATAATAAACTTCCAATTTTTTTAGATTTATTATAATTATACAATTATAACACTAGTTGCTCGTCTCAAATTTTCTTATTTTTAAGACATTTGTGGATTTCAAACATTTTTAGAAGAATATGGGGGTTTAATTAAAATTATATTTATTACAAAGTCATTTTTAATATTTTTTTAAATTCATTACTCATGTTGTAAATTTTTTTTTTTTACATTTTGAACAGTCATTTTTACTTAAACTTTAAATACATTATTATTACAGAAGGATTTATGAAGAGTGCTTTGAAACTATATGACCATTGCTTAGCTTCACAAAAATAGTCACATCTCTTCTCTTTTTATTCTAGTAACATTAATAAAATAGCACCCAAAAATCTTAAATCCGCCACTGATTATTTTAACTACATTCTATAGTTTAAATATGATTTATAATTATTAGGCGTACACGACTAATGACATATCAAACAATACACAAGTTATGTTAATATAATTGTAGGGGATTTTATAGTTTAATTGGATAGCTTATAATAAGAATTACTAAAATATTATTCATGTTCTCTAAGTAATTTTACTTTATTTATATATTAAAAAAAATATAATAAACTACTCTAAATATGATCTTTATAACACTTATACTACCTTATAATATTATTAAATAATATTCTTAGATAAATTAAAAAAAAAAAATTTTCTTTATTTTTTGTTAAACGTATGTAAAAAATATATTAGATTTTTTGTCAATAATTCTTAAATTGCAAAATAATAATGTGTCTGTTAGTCAGTATGAGGAATTTGTGTAAACATCTCATTAGTTGGTATTATTAATTTTTTAAAAAATATCTTAAATGAAAGATAGAAGTGATGTATTATTATGCGAATTTCTCATTTTATATTTGTTCGTTTAAGTTCAAGGTTATAAATATTTTTTGCCAACTCTGACAAAATCATGTAACAAAATAGATATTATTAAAAACAATTTTGCCCTTGAGTATCACCTTATAAAACTATAGTGAAATTTTTTGAAAAAACATGTTTATTTTTATAATTACAATAGTTGTAATTTGCACATTGTATATTCAATATGTAATTTTCTTAACAGACCTAGTATACTTTATGAATATTGGTTATTGTGAATAATAGTAAATTTTCATTATCTTTGCTTAGTATTAAGGCGTAAAACAATAAAAACAAATAAAACACATACTGAAAGTTCTACTGTTTACTTTATTTAAATAGTGCCTTGTTATTTATGCCGTTTTATGAACAGATACATATTTTGTGTAAAATTTTAATACTATAAAATATTTGTACATCTTGTTCTATTCGTTAATAATTTTATAAAACATACACTTGACATTAAAATATATACAGTTTAATATGAGCGCAATATTGATATAGTTAAAAGTCATAAATGTTTTTGGTACCACAAAGTTGTTGTTGGTTAATTTTTTGAAGTTATGTTAGGTGTTGCCCATAAAATGTTTCTAAAATATTTCCGATTATTTATGACAAATGATATCATGTTTGATATCTATTTTGAAAAATAATGTACGACACGTCACCGTATTAATTTATTTAAGACAAAAAAAAATTATTTGTTTTTAGTGTAAAGAATAATGAGTTGAATAAAATAAAAAGTATTAATTCTAATAATGTTGATAAGAGGATAAAATAATACTTTTCTCATTATAAAGAATTTATAAGTTTAAAATATATATATATATATATGAAAATAAAAAATTAGCTCTACGATTCTAATTCCAAGGTTATATTTGGACAGCTGCAGTTACTTTCTAAACGAGTGTCAATAATTTCTTAATAAATAGTATCAATTAGGGAACAGAATCGTTCACCTAGCCAATATTTCATTAAAAAAGATGATGCAGTAATTTACTATGTCATCTTTTAATGGTGATTGTCTACAAAATATTTATGTCTGATCTATTTAGTGTTAATGAATTAATTTGCAAACATACAAAGATGCTATATATGTATAAAAACTGTAGTCATACATCTTACAAAAAAAGGGATGAATAATTTTAAATTCTCAAGAAGAGGCAAACATTTTTTTTTTAATTACTACCAATTTTTTAAATTCCTGAACAAAATTTTTATAATACACAAAAATGAATTTCATTAATTTTTGTTCTCATTAAAGTTAATTTAAATTCATTATAAAAAGATTAGTGTTTCATAATTTTTTTGTGTAATATTAATAAACTATCAAAACTTGAAATTGAATATACAGGTGAGCCAGTTAAACTTTATGCTCATTAAATTCATATTAGTTTTACACAGTTTTAAAGAGAAATAATTTTTCTTTCGTTAAAGATATGTGTTCTTTTTTATAGTAAAACCTTAACAAAGTATTAAAAATGTTATATATATATATATATATGAACCATTTTTAATGTAATATTCGTAGTTATATTGTGTATCATGTGTGAAAATTATAAAAATTTCAATCTTTTTTTTTATTTTTTAAATAATATTATTCGCTAAGTCGACAGTATGCGTGTAAAATTTTTATTGCATTTCAAATGTGTTTATTAATAAATGTATTACATTGTATCATAGTAATGCCAAATAGAATCCTATTACGTGTTGGTTACTGTCTTAGCTTTGTAGTAAACAGCTAAGGCGATGAAATCTGATTTTGAAAATTTTAAATATTTAATTATATACAGTAAAAAAAATCATTAAAAATGGTCGAATTGAAACAAAAAATATATTAAAAATAATCACTAAAAACGTTTTTTTTTACGAATCGCAATCTACAAATAGTCCACTCATCATCTCATCACTCCATTTTAACTGATATTTTTCTTCCATTGATGGTACATTTTGGTGGAACCTTTCATTATGTTGTTCATTTACATTACCTAAATTAGAATTAAAATTTATTTAATAGAAATGTAAATATTGTAATTTTTTGATTCAAAACAAAAATTTTGAAACTTACCTTTTGAGACAATTAAAATATTTTTTTTCAGTAAGTTACAGTAATATTTTAAGCGACCAGTATGGATTTTCAAAAATATAATAAGTTATACAACATAATGCCTAACATATTGTGAAAAATTAGCAGGTCAAATTATGTTGAATGATAAAAATCTAGAATCTTCGTAAGCAAAATATTTTTACATAGATTGGAATCGTTTATTATACTTATCAATAGTAATTATGCTGAACGTACAATTAAATTGAAATAATAAACAGTGATTGTAATATGTAATAGGTAATATGATCGATCACAATTAATAATTACAATATTGTATTGATTCCTATAAAATAAAAATTATTTTTAGTTAAATACAAAATAGCCATATTTGATATTTGCTTTATAAACTTCATATCGTTACTACCATTAGCAGCAATTATTAATTAATATTTTATGAGGCTATCGAATTATTTTATGACCATGTATAAGGCATTATAAAAATGCATTTATAAATATTTTTTTCAATTATACTTTGTTGTATTGGTTCCTAATTTTTTGCGTAAAAATTCATTGCCGTGAAAATACAAGTACTATATAAATGTAGCACTTACTTTTTTTTACATATAATTGTTATTTGCTATGACATAGTAAATTTATTTTTGTTTAATATTAATAAATTACAAACGCGCATATTGGGCTTTAGGATTACAGATGTATGAACGAAGATGGATTAATGTTATTAAAATCATTTGTTATAGAGCGCATTAAATAAAAAATAATTAAATTTATTTTGAGACGAATTTTCTTTTACACCCAGTTAAGACTACCTAATGTG